AATAAATTAATATGAATATATTAAATATATTAAAAGATAATATACATAAATATATACTTGATAGTAATTATCCTAATTATATATGCCCAATAAAAATTTCAAATTACCATTTTCTTAAATTGCCATAGTAGAAGTCAGACTTTAAAATTACGCTAAAAACAATCGCTCAAACTGTAATAAATAAAACTATGACAAGAACTTATGTCACAATGAAATCTCATCTTCGTGTTACATCACAACAACACGCTGTTAAATAAGAATACTGAACAAGAAACATCCAACGACAACGTATAATCAATCCTATTAATTATAGAATACTTAAGATTCCAATAAAAATTTTCTCGTAATAAAAATCGTTAAATAATAAAATCTCCATTTTTAATCCTGAATACCAAGAAACCTGAATACAAAGAAACCTTCCCGAGGAAATAACACAAAATGCCTAGCTCAAAACCTCCTCGGGATTTAATAAGATAAATCAAAATTGATTAATTCAGCTCGTAAATAACAAAATCTCCATTTTATCGGGTGTCCCAAAATTCGCGCAAAAAGTAATTTCGATCGAAAACACAGGTTTTGAATAAAAAATTGGAAATATTATATACTCAACAATGAAAACGAAATTGTTCTTTCCTATTTTTGATAACTCCGAACTGTCAGCAGTCACGCTGTCTATTTTCTTTCGTTGACAACACCACCGCGCAAATGGCGCGAAATTCGAATCTCGCGCGAATTTTGGGCGAACGTAATTTCTTGAATAAAACGTAAATTTTTCTCAGCCGAGAAAGTGATGCAGAACAGAAGAAAAGGGGGGACGAATGTTGCTTTGAACACCCACGACGTGGCGCAATCCCCGCGACATTAATAAAACGCAAATGCAAATGGCGGCCGCGTAGAATCGCGACGCGTTCGACCGCTGATTAATCGGCAACGATAACGCGGTACCGTTCGAGGGTCGATGGCTTAAAACCAAGTAATTAATATTAATAACACGGGTTTTCTTCGGGTGGTGGTGAAACGATCAACGATCGGAGGAATTACCGACGGAGCGAGATGAACAGTTAGAAGGAAATAATAACGGGTGTTCGCCGGGAGGAATCTACGAAATAAAATTTATCCTCGCGTTCCAGTAACCGCTACCAACTCTCGATCATGCAAATTAATTTTCTCCTCCGCTCTTTCGCATCTCCTCTCCGACTTTTTCTTCCTTATTTACGAGAATAGATCGATTCTCAGATGGGGAAAAATTACAGGGTGTTCCAAAATTCACGCACGAAGTAAATAATTTCGATAGAAAACACAGATTTTCAATTAAAAGTTGCAAATATTACTGAACAATGAGGACTTGTTCTTCTTTCGTGTAACGTTTCATTTTTACCAGCCCTGAACTATCAGCTGTCACGCTGTCTTCTTTGTTTCCTTGACAACACTTTGCCTCACAAATGGCGCGAAATTCAAATCTCGTCTAATCGAAACTAAAATAAAATTTAAAAAATAACTCGAGGCGACACTAGCGCTGTGGAAGCACGACTCTCTCTTCCCGAGCACCCTTCTTTTGTTACAAACACACATGCCACATACGCGCGTCATCCGCGCTCGCGGGCGTTTTCACATTCCTGCGTGTATCGTTGCGTGGTTCTCCGGATGTTTGCAATTTTTATTGGTCTTACGAAATCGCTGCTTTTCGTGGCTCCTTGGACTGCGTAAACAGCGTCTGTCTCTAGAACGACTGTGCATAATCTTGTAATCATCCTACGCATATCCTTCCATCCAACATGGCGGAAGATCGCAGGAGCCAAGACGAGTACAGTCGAGTCGGATGATCGGTAAGTAGGATTTAAATAGCCAACTTGGTAATCGCAGCTGAGTGGTAAAAACAGGCCCAGGCAAAGAAATTAATTTGCTTTTCCAGTCATTCTAACCTCTTTTCCCGGATGATGTAGTATTATTTAACATGGAGTCGTTTGGAACGGAGCGTTCCGCTAGATGGCTACCATTAGCTCGTGTAGGCAAGAAACGACCTGATAGCAAAATGAATTGCGGCCAAAAGTATCGAGAGTGCATCCTCCGTATGTTACTCGAACGAACTAATTAGAAGATGACAGGAAAGGCGATTTATCCATGAATGAATAACGAATATTCGGTCAGAGTCATCTCCTGGAGGAGATGAGTCTGGATGTAGCACGGTTATCACCATATCAGAGTGTTTCGAAGGATTTCCTGAAATTAGAAGAGTCGTCAGAAGACATCCTATGGATTAAAGATCTTCAATCATGCTTCGTTTTACAATCTTGGACAATCTTGGTGGTAGAAGTTATGCAAA